CAGGGTCCCCTCCACTTTGGGGGGATATTCTGGTGGAAGGCGTCTACAGGAGGATTCAGAGCCGAGCAGAGGGAGGAGATGAAGCGACAAACATCTGAAGCCCTGAACACCTTTGTTGGGGCCAGTTTCAGTGGCTTCGGGGCCAGTGCAGGAGGGGCCACAGATGTTTCCCGGTCCAGCTCACAGGCTTCTGTCCAGGGCAGAGCTGGAGAGAGCTCCCACACAGAGATTCGGTGTCACGTGTTCACCACAGGGGGCCCAACAGAGAGCAGTTCTCTCCCTCAGTGGAAAACAGGGCTTGTATCCAATAACTCAACGTGGTGCGTTATCGACCGTGGCTCCCAGCTGATCCCAGTGTGGGAGGTCATCCTGTGCAATCACAGCAGGGATTTTCAGTCTGTCCATGGAATGAGCCGCGCCCTCAGGGCTGCGTACAAAGCGCTGACAAATCAGAGCGTCGGCAGCGCTTTTGGGGAGGAACTGGCCAGTGCAGTGGAAGAGGCCAGAGAGTTCATGGAGATTGTGAAGACCTGGGAGGGGGCAGTGGATGAAAAGAAACTGCTCACACTGATGGAACTGAAACAGGATCTGAGTGCAAAAACCAAGGACCCCAGAGTCTGGATCAACGTGTGCCTGTCGGACAAAGCCCTGCAGGACTTCCTGGTGAACACCGTGAGGAGTTACCAGGAGTCACCTCCAGAAAACTCCACCTCTATCAAGGCAATCTTGAGGAGCCTCCTGGATCCTCATATCTATTCTGTCAAGGACTTCCCCGAGTCTTCCTTCATTATGCAATGGATCTTCCAGACTGACCACAGGCTTCCCAAAACTCCCAATGTCTCTGAACTTGAAGAGCTCCTGCAGACACTGCAGCAAACGATGGAGCACATCCATGCTGTCACCTACGCACCAGGAACCTCTGCTTCTGCCGTCCAGGAAGCAAAGAGAGAAGCCACCCTGACCACAGGCCTCGCAATTCATTCCTTCCTGCGGTCTCTCCAGGAAAGGGCTCAGAAGGACATGGAACTCTTGGTGCTCTTAATTGCGACCAGCACAGGGTACCAGGTGGGAAGCAGCACTTTTCATCACCTCCTTGGCCATGCAGAAATTCAGTACCTGGCCCAGGCAATGGCAGCGGCACACGAGCAGTACGTGACTCTGAAGGAGCAAGATGCTGCCAGAGCTGAGGCCTCCCTTCTGCTGACGGCTCTGACCGTGACACCCCAAAGCAAAGAGCTGTCCCCAGAGCAGAAGAGGGAGCGGTTGC